AGTGGTAACCTACAAAAAGGTTGCAGACCATTGCAGGTGCGACTGCTATCCGAAGGCCTTCTTTAGCTCTTTTCATGAAAGGAATTTAAACAGGATTAATTCCTGAATTTGATTTGTGACAAACAGTTTTTCCGTCACCGCTGCAAATGTCCAATTAGTCAAATACCTAGACAAATTTGGTCGGAATTGCTTATGCGACCACCTCCCGAAGGGCGACTGGGATAGGAAAGCTCCCCAGATGGCTTTGCGATGAAGGCCTGCAGGAGTAAATATTCCCGTGACCTAACGCTAACTCTTTACTTAACCCTAACTGGAATTTAGCACAAAACCACAGGGTGATTCCTGTTCCCATTTCCTGCTCAGGGGCCATACAATCTCTACCATGAATTCGGTTAGCGTGCTAGATTTTCTACTATGCAGGTCTGAAAAGTGGCTTTCAGGCCGTGTCTGGCCTGTCCAAAAAAGCCAAATAATCGAGGGCCGATGCTTTTTAAACAAAGCAGAGGCGTTACTTAGAGAACACGTCAATTGGGGATTATCTCAAGGTCTTTTTTCTGTACGTACTATTCCCGAGGGAGAAAGAAAACTATGAGACCTGTCCTCGTCTGTCATCAAGGTTGTGAATGCCTATGAACCAAGGTATGCAGGAAAAAAATTCAGCATTACACAAGTAATGAACTCTAACTTTGTCCACCCACTCAGTTAAAAATAGTATTGCATCAAGGCACTCTAAGCGTGCGTTTTTATGCTCAGCAGCGATATGGAAGACATGTTTGTCGCAATCTTCCGTCTATCACTTTGTTTGCACGTCAAAGGGAGTTAGGCCTCAGTTTTGGCGACAAGCACAATTTCACGATCAGCGGAAAAATGCGACAGTAGAAACGATGTGATGTCAAGTCTGTCGAGACGAATGAAAAAAAAAGCAATTGATGCAATTTGGATGGCATTAGGTACAACAGTTCGATCCTCGTATGCGACGAGGTACAGAGTTCTTTTTCCCAGCATGCTGACACATAGGCACGATAATCTAAGTCGGGATTAGAGAGAGCAGGAGCCCAGTCACTCAAAACTACGCGGAGACAGCAACCGTGTCCCACAGGTGCACCGCGTCGCCCTCTGATTTTTGTCTCCGACTATAGGGTGGAGTAATAATTAGAAACGTCAGGCCGACAATGCTCTTTTTTCAGCGATTGGGCAAACCCCACCCTCTTGTAAGTTGGCCAGACGTGTTTTTTTGCTTTTTGAACTATACACCCCTCCCATGGCATTGCTAGCGCAATCAACTGTAATCGTCACGCATGGCGACAGCATGGCGATCGGAAACCAATCATTGTCAAGGAATGGCACCTAGTTCAAAGCACTGGAACGAACTGATTGTACTTTTAATCGAGGGTCCAGTCTTCCCTAGGACATGTTAATAGGATTACAAAAAATTTGCTTCAAACTTAACACTAGATGCACTGAATTAAGCAGAACTGGTGAAGGGTTGAGTTTGATTTTTCTTAAAGCCCCGAGGGGACAGGAAAGATCGAGACTCACAGATGGTAAATCTTGTAGTGTCCCTTGTGTTTCTGCTCAAAAAAGCGACTGACTTCTTCAATATGATTGCGGTACAGGCCCTCGATGCGCTCGGCAGGAAAACCCATAGCAATGATCCTTGGTGAAATATAGCTCAAGTCAAGGTCGAAACCATCCGCCTGGAACCGCTTCTTTTTCTTGCTCACCAAAGACTTGAGTCGGTTCACCATCTTAGCCGGTGGTTTTACCGGAGAGAGGGGCTCCTCTGGCGTGTCTGTGACCGGCATTGGAGGCGGGAGACGTGTAGGTGCCGTTGCCGCCACCGCCAGCCTTGTAGAGGCGGGTAC